AAAGCCTCCTTCCTCAGTTTATTCCTGCGTCTGGATCCAGAAGACTTCTTTCTTCTATGAGTCTTCACAAAGGATGTTGAAGAGGAGAGCACCTCTGAAGCTGTATGCTTGCTTGCAGGTTCTTCAGTTGGTTTCTTGCTTTAATTTGCTTGAGTTGCTGCATTCAATATTGCTTCCTTCCTGAAATCTCTCTTTGAAACCCATATTTGCTTCTGCTTATACATCTTGGTGTTTTAGAGATTAAGTGATGATGGAAGAAATCTTAATTGATTTTTTTATATACGTATTACATTTATTATCTTGAGTTTAATATTATTTAAGTATTGATTAAATCAACATTTTAATAATGAATCTTGGTAATGTAATCTAATATATTAATATTCTCTGAATTAGTATGAATTTATGACTGATCTGTTCTAACTGTCGTTTCTGTGTCAGTTTCACTTTTTAAGTGTACCTTCAGATTATCTAAAGAAAACCTCTGCAATGTAAATGCATAATAAAGAAGTATTGGTCTGAAATAAACTTTTCCTAGATTAGATAAGGATTACAACTTTTTTTAACAAAAAGGGGTACATGATATGTCCTAGAATTTATCTCTAGCCATTGAATCATGTGCCCATCGACGTCTGTTGTTACTGTAGTCTACCTCCTTATCTCTTGAATCAATCACTTCTTCCTCTTTTATGTCTAGAAGAGAGCGGTAGAACCTCTTGTTTCCCTCCTTTTTTTCTTCCTTGATCTCTTCATACTTCTTCTCTGAGGCTTCAAAGCAGTCACTGTGGAACCTCCTTCTGAAGGACGTTCAGGTGCTAATGAAGTGGCTTCTTCAGAAGTAAGTTGTGTTGAGAGCACTGGAACAATTGTAGAGGACTCAGAAGCAGCTCGCTTCTAAGGGGATTGGATTGGCATGCTTGTAGAGCTCCCAAATGCTTCTGTTACGACAAATGCATTATGATTCTTAGATACTGACTCCATATTCTTAGGATGGGTAATTGATGAAATTTATTTAGGAGTGATATGTTTTTATAGCAACTTATGTGGATACCAAGCGTCTAAAATTCAATTCTTGGAACAGTAACAACCACTGAGACTTTAATTCGTGAACTTTATAAACCTTAATGACTCTTATTACTTGATTACTCTTCCTTCTTGGAAACTGATCTTATAATGATGATCTGCGTTACATTTATTTATGATTTTTTTTCTCTTTCCTTTTCTTTTTCCTTCTTTTCTTTTTATTCCTTTTTATGTGACAAAAAGGGGAGAAATAATAGTAAGTATTTAAATGGAAACTGAACCCATTGAATACATATTGGTCATTTATTTTTCTAAGTCTGAGGTTTGTAAGCTCATACTCAGACCTATGTACAAGTAAGTTGTGTTGAGAGCACTGGAACAGTTGTAGAGGACTCAGAAGCAGCTCGTTTCTTAATGCTAGAACAAGCTCAAGCTATGAACTATCAGACTCAGGGGGAGCTTACAAACCTCATAATCTGTTGTTGCAGAGAAAATTAAATGCCTAATATTGTCTTTTAAATACTTGTGTTTGTCATCATAAAAAAAGGGAGATTGTTAGAACAAGATTTGTTCTTGACATTTTCTCTTTAGTTTTTATGATAACAAAAGTATTAAAAGAACAATGGTTTATTTAATGTGTGTTTTATTTATGCAGGTTCTTATACATAAGATACACTTGGGGTTGCTTCATTGCTAGCATCTGGTGGCAGAGTCTGAAGAATAATTTCTAAGTGTGGCTTAACGCATACTCTGAACTGAAGGCCTCAGCATTCAGACGAGTTTCTACACTCAGTAATTATATATCAGCTTCTGGTACCATTCAGAGTTGGTGATAAAGCTGCGAGCTATCCGTACTACTAAAAGCATGCAGTATTGTTGTATCAGTCTGTCATCTCGAGTCTACAGAATTGCAAGGCTCAAGAAAAGCTGGTACATTCTATAGATGTCTACTCCCAACTGCTCTATTAGTATAGAACCTCTTGAAAACTCAAGGGTTAAACGTGTTACACAAAGGATTCAGAAATCTGTTGTGCATCCATCTTCAACGTCTCTTGTACTTTGAAGCAGAAGCAAAGACGCTTGACCAAGTAACCTTCACAGCGGCTAGTTTATGAAAAGGCTATATATATGGCTGAAGATTCAGTCCTGTATTTTTAATAAGGATTCTTCTGTTGAAGGAGTAGCAAGATTAAGCAATTATCAACTCTATGTAATAGGCAGATTTTCTGTTGTAGATTGTAATTGTAAAAAGCCTTGAGATTTCTTACCCCTGTATATATTTAGAAAATTTAAGTGCTTTAGGTCTTTGTTATGGTGATTTCCCGTACCTTTGATGCTTGCATCATGTACACCTTGTTCTCTATTCTGCCGAGCCTTCAGTAGTTTAGATTAAGTTTTTTGCTATGTGCTAGAGCAAAAAGTCTTGTCTCATCGGAATTCAAGCATTAAGTCTTGAGCCAAGATACTTAAGCCACGTAAATCTCATTGCTTAAGTGCTTGAGTTGTGAAAGTATTATTCAGCCAGTCTTATTGAGCAAAAGTAAAGTCTTAGACATGTGCTCTAAGTAAAGGTAAGTCTCAGCCTGAAGATAGATGAGCCGATAGCTCAATATGATGGTGTGAGCAATAGAAAGTCTTAGACATGCGCTCTAAGCAAAGGAAAATATCACCCAGAAGACAAATGAGAAAGTGGCTCAGTCAAATGGTGTGAGCAAAGGGAAGTCTCAACCAGAAGGCAGATGAGCAGGCGGCTCAGTCTGATGGTGTAAGTAAGGGTAAGTCTTAGACATGCGCTCTAAGTTAAGGAAGTCTCAGATAGTTGGTATGAGTAGTTGTAAAAGACTTATGTAGAAGTATAATAGATCATAGTCATGAAGTGGTTATAACTAAAAGCTCTTGTAAGGCAAGGGGACTGGACTACTCTCAGTTAAGGGAGAAACCTGTATAAATCTTTTGTATCTTCTGCTCTTATTTTATTTACTTCTGCTGTATCCGTTGCCAATTGAATTAACTCAGAATCTGAACATCAGTTTTGATTCTAAGACTCTGATAAGAAGCTAAATAATTAGAAAACACAAAACACAATTCAACCCCCATTCTTGTGTACTTTTCACACCTTCAAGGTGATTTATGCAGAGTAAATATCTGCCCACAAACTGTGAAAAACTTATTTACTTTACAACTGCAAAATTCTGTGAAATCAAGTTGTTACAAGAATAGGGGTTACTCCCTCTATTTATAGTATCAAGTTAGCTTGCTCCCTAAGCCTAAGCCCAAAATTACAAAGGCCCAAAATTTCTATTTTGGTCTAAGTTAAAATCATGTGTCAAGCAACTTGTTTTGAGACTTCGACATCTAACACTACTCGACACACACTACAAATTTCGACACGTCCTTGTTTTTGTCGAGCACTACCTGCTTTGACACAAGACATTACATTCTCAACACATATGTGAATCTATTAGCAAGATATAATTCTTCTCTTACTTAAAGACATTGGAACATAGTCAAACATATACTTTTCCATCTTAGATTTACAATGGACATGAGTTTGTTTTATTCCAAAGTATCCAAATTCAAACTAACAGGTTATGCAGATGCAAGTTACTTATGAGATCCTCATAATGGTAGATAACAAACGAGATATTGCTTATGGCGGTACAACAATTGCATGGAGATTTATGAAACAAACCATGACAATAACTTCATCTAATCATGCATAACTTTCATTACTACAAGAGGAAACTACTGAAAACATTTGGTTGAGATCTCTAATTCAACACATACGACAAATTTATGGTTTATCTTTAAATGTATGCGAGTATTGAAAACATTTGGTTGAGATCTCTAATTCAACACATGCGACAAATTTATGGTTTATCTTCGGAAAAAATAAATACAACAACCATAAATGAATATAACTTTGCATTTATCGATCCATTGAAAGATGATTGTATTAAGGGAGAACAAACAACACACATATCTTCAATTTTTTCACTCATAATCTTCGAAGAGTAGTGATATAAGCATCCAACAAATTTGTTCATCTTACATATATTTTTCACAAAGTCACTTCAAAGTAGAATTTTTAACTAAATAGTACAAAAGAATGGTCTTCATTATTGATGGAATGATTGTTCAGATGAGGAGGAGTAATGCATTTATCTTAAAAGGATATTATACTCTATTTCTTTCACTAGTTTTTTTCCCACGTGATTTTTTCTAATAAAATTTTAATGAAACATATCTTATACAAATGTTCAAGGAGTCTTATGAATAATAAACAATTATTTTCTAATATGTTATGAATAATGGATGATTTCTTTCCAATAATTTATAATAATTTATATTGATTATACTATATGATATGATGTTCTATAATTAAGAATAATCTCATTGTATAATATTACACAGTTACAAAATATAATCCAAAACTTCTAGTCTTTTACTTTAAACATTGCTCCTCTTTCTCTTTATTTTATAACAAGTTTAACTTTTTTGAACTACAACTTAAAAATTGAATATGGCCACAACTTAAAAAAGTCATTCAGCTCAACATTCAAGCAATTATTGTGCTAGCTAGCTCTAAGTTTGAGTACAATCAATAAATCAACAAAAGGAAAACCTATCTTTTACCTTAACATAACTACTGACTCTAATCATCTTGCTTGTGCACACTATTCAATGACTCATATCATTCAATAAAATATCCAGAAAAGTTTTCACTTCATTTTGCCACCCTAATAAAGGTACTCAAGGACAATTATTTATAGATTTCACACTCAATTTAGTCTTCTTAGTTATGATGATATGGAACATTTTTTCTTTATAACAAAATATCATTGCATGTTAAAATGTGCTATCACTGAATAGCCTTTCAATGATTAGATTCATCTTGAAAAAGGAAATTAACAAGAGAGAAAATAATATTCACCATCCTCAAGAAATTTCAAGATTAAAAAAAAGTTAAAGTTTGGATCTTAATTCAATATTGACTCTTGTTGAATCCTTTCCAACATTTTGTATACAGCTGAAGCTATCTCATCCACTGATCCAAACTTGCAATCCTCTTCCACCTACAACAAAAGTGCTTTTAAATGAAGAATAACTTAAAGAAGAAAATCACTTCTAGAAAAAGCTAAAAAACCAAGAAAGGGACCACAGACAATTACCTTAACACTGATAGAATAGAAGACAAATTCATGAGATGTAGTGACATTAAGATGCAAGATTGTGAGACACATTCCATGCAAACTAGAAACCATTTTCAAGAGTTGTTTTGGTTTTTTCTTTGATCTTATTTTCAGATTTGCATGGCTTTCCACCATTGTCACTTCAATGTCAGCAATAGTATTGCTAGATTGATGAACTTCATCACCCATTTTTGTCTCACAGACACTTGTTGAGTATTGTGGAAAGGTGAAAAATTCAGAAAAGGGTTTGTTTTTATTTCCATCAATAGTTTCAAATTCACCCTCTTTTTCTTTCTCAACACCAAGAAATTGTAGCTTCTGTTCAAGATTCTTCACAAAGTTAATAGCTCCTCCAATTATTGATGCTTGATCCACCTGCAAAATTCACCAATTAAAACAGATTAATAACATAATATTACGCGTCAGACGTCGGACACCAGACTTCAGACACGTCTTCGATCAGAAACACATAATAACATGTGTCAGACACCGAACACCAGAGATGTCTTTGGTCAGAAATGTCAGCACATAATACCATGTGTCAGACGCCAGACACAAGACATGTCTAGCATCTGAAATGTCAGTACACTATGCAAATCACAGTTTAAAACCATGAAATATATCATTATTTAGAAGAAAAGAAAAAGCGAAATAAAAGTACCCTTTGGACGTAAGATTGAGGCATGAGAGACCGAAGAACAGCGAGATACTGATTCATTTGTTTTCTCCTGTTACGTTCTACAGCAATGTGAGTCATTCTCTGGTTCTCGATTTCTTCCTTGTTCTTACTTGTTTTGACTCTGCGTTTCTTGGAACGAGAACGAGTGGGAATTGAGGTATCTAGAGATGGATTTGACACCACATTAAGTACTTGATCCTCCATTAACGGTGAAGAATTGTTGTTACTCCAATTCTCTGTATGATTGTTGAGAAAAGCATGCTGTTGTTCATTATGAAGGTTGAAGTTACTGTAGTCATAGTTAGGTTCAGAATCTGTTAATAGGTTGTAGTTGAAGAGTTCTTTGAATCCGTAGGTAAAAGGGTCTTGTTGTTGCGGTGGTGGTGGTGGATATAGTAGAGTTGGTTCTAGTGCCATGGCTTTTTCTCTCTCTTCCTGGGAGAAACATATGAAGAAGATGATGATGAAAGAAAAAAGGTAAGTTGAGTCTTGTTTGTTTAGGAGTGATTTTGAGGTTATAAAAAGGGGTTTTGAGTTCAGGTGAAGACACAATTTTGGACAGTGATTTGCACGTGAAATGAAATAGTGTTCAAGTGCTTAAGTTTACAACACATATCTTAGGCTAGGACACTTTTTATTAAAGTTTTTATTAATTAATTTTAGATAAAATTAGTTTAATTAATGGATGAAAAATTAAAATAGCTTCATTCTAGGTAGATGTACAATTGATAATGTTATTATTCTCCAAGATTTTATTTATCATGATATGCATAAGTCTAAGAAGAAATAATCTGATGTTATTTATAAGATTGATCTTGAGAAGGCTTATGATAGAGTGGTTTGGAATTTGCTGCATGACACCTTTCATTATTTTGGATTTTTTTTTTTTGGGAATCATCTCTTTAAGCATGAGCAATATCTCCTATACTTCTTGTATATTTTTTGTGGAATGAGAGTAGGACAAAACACTTAAAACCTCTTTATGAACTTTGACAAGGAAATCATTTATCTCCTTAACCTTTTGTTATTTTCATAGAAAGGCTTAGTAGTTTGATTGATAAAGAAGTTCATGAGAGCCACTCGAAACCTCCACATATCACTCGCGATGGTTCTAAAATATCTCATTTATTATTTGCAGATGACATAATATTGTTTGCAAAGAAAAAAATCTTATCGAACACAATTAATTGGTAACCTTTTGGGTGATTTTTACTTTTTTAAGTCTCAAAATGAATCTAGATAAGTCATGAGCTTACACCTCTAAAAGTTTCATTAGAGCCACTAAAGATGATCTTGAGAAGCTCATTAGTATATAATCTATTGAACAACTAGAAAAATAATTATGATTCAAAATAAAATACATAAGCATGAGGAAAGAAGATTTCTTGTATTTCTATGATAAGCTTCAAAACTGGCTTCTTGAAAAGGTAGACTCTTGAACAAGCTAAAGCATATTGTTGCGTTGAGAATCGGATATCAAACTATTAATTAACTTGAATCACAAATCGTGTAGTTCACCATCGAACTTTGATTTATCCAAAGGAAAGGGTAAAGATCGAAGAAAATCCTAAGTGAGCTACGTAACAACGAAGCTAAAAGATCGGGGGGTTCGGGGGTTGGTTATACTAAGGGAAGGTATTAGCATCCTAAGTATCTGTAGTACTCTACAGGAGCCTTTTATTTGGTAGTTGTGTTTTTTGTCAATGTATGTTTGCTAATGGTTATGTGCTAAAGTAAGGACATATGGGTTTGTACGCTAAGTATGTTCGTCAAGACGTTGCATCTCGTGCCTACGTATCCTAACAAGGATGAAATCATAGCAACCGTAGTTCTCCTAACTAGGGTGAAGAACACTTGACTATGATCAAAGTTCCAAGGGAAATAAGCATCCATAACAATGATACTTATATAGAGTTAACAAACTCTCTAAGTCTAAGGTTAAAGACCTAACTGGGGATTTGACTTTAACAAAAGTCAAAGAGGGAAATATGAGTGCCCATAACAATAGTTCACACATAGAGTTAACAAACTCTAGTCCTAAGCTCTAAGTTATAAGGTTCCTAACAAGGTGTGCCAAAGATCTTGATTTAACAAAGTCAAAAGGATAAGGTTCCCTAAAAGTCCTAATGACTCTAACAAGGTCAAAGGGATATGAGAACAAATGAGCTATCTATGACATTGAGTCAATAGAGAGACTTTTGTTTGGACTTAGGAATACAAGGCAACTCTTGAGGAAGTCATACATATACATTCATTCAAACATGATGAAGATATAAAATCATGGTAACAACCAAGAAAGTGAAGCAAGCATGTAACAACATCAAGCAAAGATAAGAACAAGGTTACAAACAAGTATATCCATAGAGATACCAAACCAAATGTTTAAAACCAAAGGTAAACATGGATGTTACAACATCTAAAAAGGTTTTCTGAAGTGAGGTTCTTACAAGACCAAAGATCACAAATAAATCATTCATAAGTCAAAACATTACTTATTATGACAAAGTTTAAAGATCCATATGCATAAATCATAACAATATTTAAGCATGGATACAAATCAAGTAGGATCATGCATAAGTCAAAACATCACTTATCACAAAGTTCAAGGATCAACATGCATAAATCATAACAATGTTTAGGCATGGAAAAGTCCAAAGATCAACATGCATAAATCATAACAATATTTAAGTGTGAATACAAATAGAGACTTATGTATAAGTCAAAACATTACTTATAACAAAGTTCAAAGATTAACATGCATAAATCATGACAATGTTTAAGCATGGAACACATAGAGGATCATGTATAAGTCAAAACATTACTTATAATGGGTACAAATCAAATAGGGTTAACAATCACAACCACTTAGACAAAACTGTGACATCTGTGACAACAACATATGAATTATGGTGAATCTTTGTTGAACAAGTAGGTAACAACCAAGGTTTAAGATATTCAAACATGTATTCACATATAAACATGAACTTGAAAAAGTAATAACCAATCACGTAACAACAATGGTATACAAGTTCATGCATCAAGTGAGGTTCATACAAAATATATTGGATGCATACAAGCAAAGAGAATCAAAGGAATCAATCAAGAAGATCAAGGGAAAACCTAAGAAACCCTAAAAAGTCACAAACTTTGAATAAATCGTTTTGTAATTTTCTTGTCATGGATAAAAAATAGACATTCTCATGAACATTTAGCAAAAAGAATGGGATCAAAATGATAAAAATCAAAGAAGTTAAAATTAAATCAATTTGCAAAGGAAAACATAAAAATAGGCACCGAAAAATATGGAAATGCACTCAAAGGGGTTTGAACCCATGCCACTAGGGTTATTACCCAAAACTCTAACCATCTGGCCTGCGTGCGCATTGTGAATACTAAATGTAGTCATGTCTTAAAATAAGAAACAATGATTAATCAGAGGAAAAAAAGATCAAAAGGTCTGGGGGGATTGAACCCCAGAACCTTCGCTCAACACAACACACAAACTCTCCTCCTTGACCGGCGGTGCTATGTCCTCATCCAATATGTATATGCTTCATAATTGTTTTAAATTAGAGACACCTCTACATGGCCACGTCAGTGCCATGTTATGGCAAGTCATCTCTACTTCAACTTCGTCTTCCTCAGCTTTTCTCTCTCTCTCTCTCTCTCTCCCTCTCTCTCTCTCTCTCTCTCTCTCTCTCTCTCTCTCTCTCTCTCTCTCTCTCTCTCTCTCTCTCTCTCTCTCTCTCTCTCTCTCTCTCTCTCTCTCTCTCTCGTGCCCTATAACCATCATCATGGCCATAACTTATTCAATCTACATCTCCTTCATTTCTCAACCATTTCAAATGATATAAAGATCAAAGTTTGTGCATTTTTCACAAGGATCAAGAATATAATAATATCTTGTCCTAAAAATGAATGAGTACCTCACAAATTATCCAACAATAGTGCAACATATTAAGAATATCACATGTCAAAATATTACATGTGCAACTCATACAACATAAACAGTGGTTGAAACAACTATAACATAATAATATCTACATGCTTGCTTCATAAATAAATTATTAATGGTGCATGAATCATGAGAGTCAAGGAACACGAAGCTTACCTCTTGGAGAAAGTCTAAGGCTTCTTCTCAGCAATTTCAGTTGTAAGATAATAACCTCCACAGCTTTGTTGAGCATTTTGGAGTGAGCTTGAATGATTGAACAAGCTGGAATTGGATTTTAAAACAGAATATGATCCTTCTTGTAACAATGGAGGTTGAAGATGGTGCAGGTTGTTTGAGATGTTACAGAGATGCTTCAATGGTCTGAATGCACTCTATGGAGTATCTAGAGAAGGTTTGTGATGTTGGTTTACCCAATGCATGAGCAAACTGTGTGTTTGAGGTATTCTTGCAAATTTAGATGGTTTTTGCAAGAACTAGTGGTTCTGAGTATACAAGAGGTTTTGAGAGGTTTTGTTAGGGTATTTTTACATTATTTTCATTGAGGATTGATGTCCAATTTATAGGATAAGTGGAGGGTTTATGGTATGGTCAGAGTCCAAGTTTATGCAAACTTGCCCACTTGAAACTCAACTAGCTTGTGATGATGATTTCTCTTGGTTCAAGGGATCAAGTATAAGAGTTACTGGGTAAAAAGCATGCTTCTGCAAACTGAGTGTACTTTGGAGTGTAGAAGGAAGGTAGGTTAATGGCTCAAGGCATATTTCAAGGAAAAACCATACTTTAGTGGAAGTGTTCACTTTATGTCATAAGTGGAATAACTTCTTGGTTTATGCCTTAAAACTTTGTGTAATCTCTTAAAATTTCTTGCAACACTTTGATCAAAAGGGATCTTGCAATTAGACAACCCAAAACACCAACATTTGCAACACAAGATTGGTTTTGCATCATGTCATGTCAAATTGAAACCTTGAATTTCAAGTTTTTGGACCTCAACTTCTTCTCTTTGAAACTCTTAGCTCACACATGCTATGAGGGGGTTCTTATACTTTCTGAAAAGCGCTAAACATGCCCTACAACTTTCATGTTTTGATAATTTCTTGAATCTTAAGGGATCATGGTGAAAACTAGCCTTTAAGTTAATTGAAAATTGGAGTAACAAAGCTGTCTTGAAAATTTTCTAAGTGTTTTGAAATTCTTCTAAACTTAGAAGCTCCATAACTCAAAATTCAAGCATCTTTTGCTCATAGGTCACTAAGAAACTTTTGTAGCACATGAGGAGATATTAAAATTGATCTTTGGAACTCACAAAATGGATGTGGGGATTGGAAGTTATGGCCTTTCAAAGTTGGCACAAAAACTAGGGTTTTTCCACACTTAGAAAAATTTCAAGTTGTCTAAGTTTTCTTCTTTTGCAAGAAACCTCTCAAATCTTGATTTCTTCATGACCAAACTCATGGATTGA